CAAGATTTCTTCCTGCTGACCGAAAAAAACATTCCAATCATGGCTCTGACACCCAACAAAAATGATCCATCACCTACCTATGTAGAAACCGTTGAAGAAATCATGAAATCCTACAAATCACTCCCGCCTAGACCCTCTATTGAAGAGGTTGAAGCAGCCATGTCTGTTGTCAAAACAGTTAACTATGAAGAGCAAGAAAGACTTGAAGAGATTTCCAAGGAAGTTGCTCCGCAAGATGTTCCACCAGAACTCTTTTCTGTGCTACAAGAAGTGAGGAAATCCAAGGTTTTGTTCAGAAGCCATGAACAGATGAAAGAGGCAGTTCACTTAGTTGAACTCGACAAGATTTTTCAGACATTTGATGAGCTTATTCAGAGGGCTTCTGAGTTAGTTTCTGCGAAGACCTCTCCGGAAAAAGAGCTCAATCTTGGTGGCCCAGATGGTGAAATTGGGATAGAAGTGGTGATCAGCGATGATGAGAGTGTCCGTAGGAATGAAGAGCCAAAGATTGAGGATTCAAAAGGAATGTCCTTGAATGCTTCTTCTGAGCCTCCTTCAATTCCTTCAGGTCATAAGCAAATGCAAATTTCCTTTAGATTCACAAGTAAACTTCTATTTTTTCAAAAAATATTGCTCAATTTAGAAAATTTTGCATTTTAATTTCTTGGTAAGAGATTTTTGAAATAGGAATTGAATTGTTCATGCAGTTGGTTCTTATCATCTCGCTGTCAGTTTTGATCAGTCTTTTTGTTCAAGCATGATGGCTATAAAAGCCGTGCAAGAATTTGCTTCAGTTATTGAGTGAAATGTCAAGTTCCGACAAGTTCACTAGTGTTGACTTCTTTGCCAGCCTTAACGAAGAAACTTGACAGTAAGAACATGATGGGATGCAGATTCTTATCATGCATTCTTTTAGGAGCCAAATAGCCAATGGGTTCAAACGAATTTTTTTCAAAAACCAGATCACGATGAAATCTCTTTAGTTTGATAATTGAATTTCTTTGTTTTTCCTGAAATATTGTTGGATTTACCCCAAAATTATGCATTGTTTCTTGGGAGAAATTTTTTGGAGTCCCAAAAACTATTGAATTGGTCAGTTAACTTGGTTCTTATCATCCCGGAATCTGTCAGCATCATATTTCTTGTCTCCTTGGATAATAGATGTAGAAACCGTACAAAATTTGAGAAACATGTCAAAAATTTTTATTAATTGCACAAGTCACTTCATTTTGTTCCTTTTCTGTTGCCTGTTTGCAAATCCTGTATTGCCGTCCGGACACCTTTAACTTGAGTGCACACTTTCATCATGTACTATAGAAAATAGGCATTTCAATGGAGTCAAAATTGGCCTTATTCAATCGTACCTCACTCAAAGATAGAGGCGCAGGGATTAGTTATATGTTTTTGGAGAATTTGGATTTTGTGAAAAGGCTTTAATTTTTTTTTTGGCTTGCAGCTGCAAAGTATGAAGAGTCTAAGCAACTAAGTCTAATGAGAGTGGCTGCCATAATTGAAAGTTCTGCTAAAGCTGAAGCAGAGTTCCTTGATCTCCAGGGTAAATTGATGGACAAGATTGAGTGGCTTCCATTGTCACTTGGAAAATTATCGCATATCATTGAGCTAAATATAGCAGACAATAATCTCATGGTTCTTCCCTCTACTATTGGTAGCCTCAAGTCATTGAGAAAGCTTGATGTCCACTCCAACCAACTATTTAACCTTCCTGATTCATTTGGTGAACTGCTTGGCCTAACTGATCTGGACCTGCATGCAAACAGGTTGAGGTCACTGCCAGCTTCATTTAAGAACTTAAAGGACCTGATCAGTCTTGATTTAAGTTCAAATCGGTTTGCTCATTTGCCAGATGCAATTGGGAATCTGACTTCTTTGAAGAAGCTTAGTGTGCAATTAAACGAGCTTGAAGAGCTTCCTTATACAATTGGATCATGTCTGTTGCTTGTAGAGCTAAGATTAGACTTCAATCAGCTCAAAGCTCTTCCTCTTTCAATCAGTAAGCTCCAGTACTTGGAGATTCTTACTTTGCACTATAATAGAATCAAAGTACTGCCTACCATGGGGAATCTTTTACATCTGAAAGAACTTGATGTCAGCTTCAATGAACTTGAGAGTATACCTGAAAGCCTATGTCACGCAGTTAGCCTGAAAAAATTGAATGTTGGGAAGAATTTTTCAGACCTGCGAGCTTTGCCAAAATCAATTGGAAATCTTGAACTGCTTGAAGAGCTGGATATCAGTGACAATCAAATATTTGTGTTGCCCGATTCTTTCAGATTCCTCGCAAATTTAAAAGTTTTCCACGCTGACCAGACACCTCTAGAATTGCCACCAACGGAAATAGCAAAGCTTGGCGCCGAGGTATTCTTTGTTTAGTCTGTTGCATTTAAGCCCTATTGCCTATTGCATGTTTGATCTTCACTTGTTTACATTATGCTTGATTAGGCCGTTGTCAATTTCATGGCTGAATTTGTTACTACAAGGGATATGAGACCTCAAAGGCCAGTGAAGCAGAGAGGATTTTGTCTCCAGTTCTTTGTCAATTGCTTTCGGGTCGAGACAGCATGAAATCATCAATACAAGAAAGAATTGAAGTGTATTCATTTGCTGATATGTATATAGCCTTCCCCTCAGACATATACACACCACCTTCAGTGCAAGAAAGAATTTATAAGCTTAGTCATTTGCTTATATGTATATAGTCTCCTTCTCACACATATACACACCACCATCAACAGAAATGAAAATTGCAAGTGAATCAATATCTATAGATAGATGCAAGAGGGGTTGGTTGAGTTTGTTCATTGTTGTGTGTATTTGCAAGCTAATGTGCAAAAGTCGAGTTTCTGCTTTCACTTGATTGAAGAGAGGCAAGAAAGAAAGGCCACCTCATTTGTTCCATCATCATAGCATCTGTGGATCCTTAAATGCACTTTTGATTACTAAAATGACGTGTTTCAATCATACAGAACAAGTATTGGCTGCATGAATCTGTCATGCTGAATCAAGATTATTCCATAAACTATCAACCCTTTGTGGCAGATAAATGTTTAAGTATGGGCGTTTTAGCTATTGGAAATCATCAAGAATGTAAGTTGAGCATCAATGCTTACAGAGCTTGGCAGCTGAAGTAGTGCTGGTATTGCTGCTGGGAATATTAACATGTCTCTACATTGATGGGGCGTTGGTATTCGTAGAGGCAAAGAAGGGCAGAAAATTTGGCCTGGTTTCAGCCATTCTTTCAAAAAAATGGTTTTTGGAATCTGCTGTCAGCATTATGGATAGACATTGTTTCCATTTGATGAAATGTTTCATGCTAGTGATATTTCACCAAATCCAACAATTAAGAAATGCAAAGAGTACCAACTGGGGTTGGGCCAAGTGGTAAGCAGCTTGGTTCCGCTTAAGCAGGTCTCGGGTTCGAAACCTGGTGTATGCAACTATCCTTGTTGGGAGACTCACCCACCACAGCCAGGTGTGCGACCCGGGTCGACCAACGGATTAGTCAGGGTAAAGTCCTGGATACCGTGGCAGGCAACCAAAAAAAAAAAAGAAATGCAAAGAGTTGGACTAAACAACATTATCTGAATGGTGAATCTTCTCCTTCCCGGTTAAGGTTTCTTCAAAACAGTTGTCTAAGATAGCAAATCTTAAAAAAAAAATTGATTACATCTAAGGACATGTTTACCTAACTAGTGTTAATCTGCACTTTTTCTTGGAGAAAGACAAGAAATTATAGCATTTGCAAGTATAGTTTACGTTGGGTTCTCATAAAAATTCAAAAAAGTGGAAAGCATAGTTTAGTGCTCATGTTTGATTTTTTTTTTAATCCAAAAGATTCATGATCCAAATTTGATTTGTGAAAAATATAGAATTTTCCTGCCAAAAATCCTTTAAGTGATTGTGAAGTGATTATTAATAACTTGGGAACCTTTTTCAACTGATTATGAACTGCAAAAAGTTGATACTTGAGCAAATAGATTAATCCATTTATTATTCATATTTCTCTTTTGAGACACTCCATTTAATCTATAAAGAGATTAAAATTTTGATTAACTTATTTAAGAAATGATTAACTTTTTATGCATTGATAGTGTAGTGATTTTTTTAAATAGCAAATTTGAATGTATACCATATTACATGATTTAAATTTCAAATTTGGATTTATGCTACGTGACATAATTTATACCAACTAGTGTTTAAAAAATTATGTACTAATAATGTATAAAAAATTATCTTTAACAAATCCAAAGTTTATCAAATGTGTTCTTTGATTTGAGTTCGTTAATTACAGTTATTTATTTGCACAATCAAAATTAAAAAAAAAAAAGAAAAGAAGAGAAAGAAAAAGTAAAAAAAACCAACAAAAGAAAAGAAAAAGGATTAAAAAAATTATTAATTGGGATAATTTCAGAAACCTCCCTTGAGGTTTTTAGCAATTTTGCTAAGCTCCTCTGAGGTTTGAAAAATTACACATACCTCCCTTGTCATTTAAAATGACAATACTACCCTTAAATATTTTAATGAAATTCCCTTATTTGATATGCTTATAGTTAGAATGACTTTAAAATTATTTTTCATTATTTTTCCTTCTTATTCCTTTTTTTTAATTCTTTGCCAATAAAATTGTAAAATTACCATTATTATCTCTAGTTTCTATTGTAACAAAATGTCGAACTAATGATTTTTTTAATAAGTTAACTTTATACGTAATTCGATATTTTTGCTAATCTTTGTTTTCTATTTTTTGGTATTAAAATTAACAATAAATCAAAAAGAAATTGTCCAAAATCACTACTAAAGTATGATAATTCTAGGGAAATTTGTCAAATTGGTCCCTAACATTTATCAAAAACACTTTTTTAGTCCCTATCATATAAAATCAGCCAAAATTATCCCTCACACTTAAATTGTGATCCAATTTAGTCCTAATGCTCGTTTTTGCTCATTTCTCCGACTTAAAATAGCACGCCTCTCTCACGTGATTATATTTTTAGGGGCAAAACCGGAAAACACATTTCATTACCGGTTGAAAGTAAAAGGATAGGGGACCACTTGACTTTGTCAGTAGGCAAAGCATCTCCAGCTGCAACACCACCTTCCCGGACACCTACCACCACCTCCTCCTCCTCCCCCTTGACTAATTGTTGTTGTTGTTGTTGTTCCAGTTCAGCAACAGCCGAAAACGGAGAAGGAAGAGGAGCAGCAGCAGCTTGTGATCCTGTTAACCTGGCCAATACAACAAAAGACATCCCTCCAAGAACATTGTTTAAGCACCTCAAAACGACGACGGAGCTTTTGAAAAGAAAAGAGGGAAGGCCCTTGGCAAGCAGAAACTCGATGCCGTTGAGGACTTGGTATCTGAAGTTGCTGCTGACACCCATGTGGACGGCCCAAGTGAAAGCGTTCAAAGGCGTCGGAGGAGGCTTGTTGGGGGTCTGGAAATTGGGATCCATCTTCTTCCTCATCTTGATCAGGGCATTGGAGATGACAGTTCCCACGAGTCCGGCAGTGAAGCCCGCAGCTGCAAAGAGGGTGCCTTTGTACACAAAAGGCCCCATCCGACTGAATACGCCGTAAGCCCCCGACTTGAACATGTGGCTGGGAGGACAGGCGGCGAAAATGGAGGGGAGGCGGCCAGAAGAAGAAGCGTCCCCAGCCCCTGCGGTGCGTGCCAGGAGATACATGAGTAGGAAATTGAGAATGGAGCCGACGACAAGGGTGGAGAAAACGAAATCCAGTTCATTAAGGCCGAAATTAGGATGAGATGCCATGTCCCCAAGCACGCCGGCTGTCACACTCTACAACTTTGTCTTCGTCATCATTATCACTAACATTTCCAAGTTATGATTGTTAATTAAGGGATGCAATTTAGGGTTTCTTGAAACTGTAATTTGAGGGGGAAAGGTGAAAAGGGAGTGGTGGTCCCCTATCCTTTTACTTTCAATTCTGGAAATGTGTTTTCAGGTTTTGCCCTAAAAATATGGTCACGTGGGAGAGGCGTGCTATTGTTAGCCGGAGAAATTAGCAAAAACGAGCATTAGGACCAAATTGGATCACAATTTAAATGTGAGGGATAATTTTGGCTGATTTTATATGTTAGGGACTAAAAAAATATTTTTGGTAAATATTAGGGACCAATTTGGCAAATTTCCCATAATTCTACTACTCAAAAAATTCATAAATTCTGAATCAATTATTTCAATATTTTATTTTCTATCTTATAAATTTAAATCCATAATAAAATACCATCAAAAGTATCCTATCATAGTGACAAAATTATTATTATTATAGTTGTTTATCAAATAGTAGGTATAGACATGAAAATTTCGGCACCTTTTCCTTATAATTACATTAGATAATCTTATAATTCTATAAGGAAATAAATTAAAACTTATTACACAAGGGCATTTTTGGATATTTATTTAAAAATTTGACCAAGTCAATATTATTTTAAGGTTTTGTACTAAAACTATCAAATCAAGGGAGGTATGTGTAATGTTCAAAACCTCAGGGGAGCTCATTGAAATTATTAGAAACCTCAGGAGAGATTTCTGAAATTAACCGTTATTAATTTGGTGTTATTTCAATATTTGTCCACTTAAAACTATCAAATCGAGGGAGGTATGTGTCATGTTCAAAACCTTAGGGAAGCTCATTGAAATTGTTAGAAACCTCAGGGAGGTTTCTGAAAGTATCCCTTATTAATTTGGTGTTATTTCACAGAATATTTGTCCACTTAAAAATTTTCCCTAAACGATTAAACCCATTCTTGCATTCTTCCTTTTCTTTTGTTAGGCTCGATCCTCCTAGCATTCAGGAATAGAAACGACGCCGTTGAATCTCCAATGCATCAGCAAAGGCAGCCCAAAATATATATTTGCTCTCCCCCTTTCCCACTTGCCAGTAATCTGCATCCATAACCAAGCAGGCTTAAGAATCTGCATATCCACTAAGGTGCTCTAGCTCTTTTTGCTGATAAATTTCGATTCTTACTGCTTTTCTTATACATGTTTTTCTTAATTTTTATGTTCATTCATTCCCAGATAAACAAGACCTTCTTTTTTTTTTTTTTTTTCGTTTTTGGTTGTTGTCTCGACAATATGCTTCCAATAAATGTTTTTTTTCCCTCCCCCCCCCCCCCCCCGGTTTCTGTCTCAAATTTCATGACAAAAGAATCTGCAAAATGGGTTATTGAATCTATTCTACTTTTGTATTCCTGGGATGTAATGCTTTACTTGAAAGTCAAGTCTCGAGCCATAAAGATCAGATTTTTGTTTTATTTTTATTTTGGTTTAGTAACTGGGATTGAATTTTTCAAGAAACAAGGGGTGTTGACTATGTTTCTTTGGTTCTATAAAATAGACAGTGCTTTCGACTTGAATAGTTTTGATATAGTGTGGTGAAGTGCTGAAAATTGATGGAACCTATACTTGACCGCGAACTTTTGAAATCCCTGCTGTTATTAGTCGTGTTAGTCAGGTGGGATTTTCTAGATAGGTGTTTTATCGCTAGAGTGATGACAGTTTTTTTAAAAATATGTTCTTGGTGAAAAATACATTGGGGACATTCTACTTGTTGAAATTGGAAATCATGATTACAGTTAAAAATGAAAAAACAATAATCTAGAAACAAGGATGCATTTCCACTTTTGGCCTCTGTGGTTCGAGGTTTCAAGATTGTGTAGACATGAACTCATGCTGCAAGTAGCTATGTGAATTTTATGGACCAACTTATATTTAATTGTTGTTGCTTGCTGTTTTTTGCTATTTTTTTCTCCCGAAAATATGCAGTTATGATTCCTTTAAACTTATCGAATCTCATGCAATTCCTGCGTGCAATTGTCAGTGACATCGCATGGACTTTACGCATTGATACCTCAACTGATTAAGGGTTGCAATTAGATTGACTTTTATAATGGGTTCTGCTGGGACCAGCGGAGATCAGAAAATCAATGTGTATATATGGGACATGGACGAGACTCTAATATTGCTCAAGTCTTTGATAAATGGAACATATGCTGAAGCATTCAATGGTGTAAAGAATCTACAAAATGGTGTAGAAATGGGGAAGATGTGGGAGAATCATATTCTTCAAATATGTGATGATTATTTCTTCTATGAACAAGTGAGTAGCCTCCTCAGTGTATCTTTTCTAAATTTCAAAATGTTGCATTTCGTTCACAGTTCATAAGTGTGGATGGCTGATCTTAGTCCTTCTTTTGTTATTGGTTGGAGTTCTCATGGTTTAATCATTCAGATTGAAAACTGCAATCAACCATATTTGGATGTCATGCGTGAATATGATGATGGTCTAAACCTCTCTGGTTATGATTTCCATCATGATGGTTTTGGGCCCCCATTTGATGATGTCAATAAAAGAAAATTAGCATACCGCCACCGGGTTATAGCTCAGAAGTACAAAAAGGTACTATACTTTAATTCCTTTAAATCATGTCTTATCTAATTCTTACTCAGTTTACCATGTCCTTGATTATTTTGGTGCCTGAGATATCAATAGCACATTTTGAGTTCAATATGATTTCTATTTCTCTTTGTAAAATATGGGACATAAGGTGAAAAGAATTAAAAAAAAAAAAGTCAAAACTTTCCAAGATAAAAGGTTAGCAAAAGAGGGAAAAAAATTTCTATGCTTCCCAATCCTGACTTGATTGTGTAATTTCCTAGTGATAGAAACTGCTTAATCATATAAAGATGTTTGCAATATGCTCAATCACACGTATTTCATCATTAAGAATGACCTTCAGTCAACCAGTGTTATGTCTCTGGTTTTTAGTTAGTGTTTTGATCTTATTCGTGATGCACAGTAATTCTAGAATGTCTGTGGTGTTTTCTGGATTTACCATATCTATGAAAATCTTACCCTCTAAATTCTGTCAGGGGTTACACAACATCATTGACCAAGACATGGTGAAATCCTGGGAGATTCTCTATGATTCAACTGACAGATATACAGATAGATGGTTGTCTTCAGGTAGGTAAATCATCACTGACAATTTTGAAATTATCATAGTGATGCAAGTTGCTGTATCTCTGTTTGCCTCACTCTTATCCTGCAATGATTCAGTAAATTAAATATATTTCAACATGATATGCATGATTGCTTCTTTTCCACATTGAGACACAGGTAAAATTGCTTGAATACTTTGTTGTATTGAGGTTACTTTTTCACATTGGTGTGATATGGGACACAATGTAAAGTTTGCAAGTGTTAACTCTTTGGCCCAATTTTTCACATTGGAATGAGATTTTATTGAAATGCTACTCTCAATGGAATGCAACTCATACTGTACGTTGGTCATGTTTGACATTTTTGACAATGGAACCAGGTCTGATCTGGTGTAGTGGACCTGATGTGGTATAGACCTGCTTAACCCTATGCTTGATGGTCTCTATTCTTTAGCTCACTTCGCTTGTTGCCTTCTGGTGGTTCATCAGAATTGATCAGCTGTGCTTTTAAAGAGATTAGATGTAACTTATGTATGTGTAATTGATCAGTGTAAATCTCTGCAATGCAGCTCGGGTGTGCTTGGAGCACTGTGCTGCTGGGAACACAGACCTCATACCCCCTATAGACTCAACTCATAGATCTAATTGTGCAAGGACTGGATGTGATGTAAATGTCTTAGTGACTTCTGGATCACTGATTCCTAGCCTTGCCAAATGCTTACTCTTTCGACTGGATGGTCTGATTGCTTGTGAGAATGGTCAGTCACTTTCTTCCCTGAACTGTTTGAGGCACTCAGGATGTATGATTGTGCATGTGGTCTTGTTTGCATTAGTGTTTCATTCAGAATGTTGGTTATACCTATCCACTTAAGCTTTACTTGGAATTAATATATAATTATTAAGATGAGCTTCTAGTTTTGTCATATTTATTCATCTTGAAAACTCAAATAGCAGGTTAGGCATGTCAATGGGTAGGGTCTGGTTTGTATCCCTTTGATCCAGATCTAGACCCATTTAATTTAGTTAGATCCAGACCCAAATCTAGACCCTTTTGGGTCTGGAAAAGTAAGTCCATACCTAGACTCTTATGGATCTGGGTATCCAATGGGCATTCATGGGTATTTTCTGAACATACTAAAGTAAAAATGTATTTAAAATATATAGAGTTCATAAATAATATAAATACCATCCAATTTTTGTTTTCAAATAATAAAATTAACATTCGACAAGTTGAATGCAATATTGTGAACTCAAAGAAAGAATTATTATTGACTACTTCTATATATTTTCAAAGATTCAACTGCATCCATATCCAATATTCATTTGTTTGCCTTTACCTTTTCTCCTTTTCTTGAAAAGTTTGTATCAATTACAATGACAACTAGGATTAGTTTTTAAAAAAGAAAACAACCATAACATATATAAATATTTAATCTTATTAAAAAAATGTAATTTTGTGCCTCTTTTTCTTATTTAAACCTCAATGTTGGTAGATGTCTTGCAATCCAGCACTAAAATAGTGAATGAAATAAAAGTCATTTGACCAAGGACCGATGAAAAATAAATAATAGAATAAGAAGATTTACAAACACTTATTCATTTTTTCTTTGATTCAATCCAATCATTAGTAGTCACTAATATTTCAACCATATCTAGAAGCAATTTGGCACGAGTCTCATCAATCACCCAACCACCAACACTAAATGCAGATTCTAATGCCATAAAATCTTACTATATTCGATCTAATAGCCATAAAATATTAGATTATTTTATAAATTTACTAATTTATATTATTTAATTAAATATATATATGGGTCTAGGTAAGTTCTAGTACGAGTCTGGATTTGAATATGGATTCTAGAAAACCAGACCCTACCTAAATCCACGACTCTCTCATAGGGTTTGGGTCTGGATACAGTCTGGATTTGAGAAATTAAATCCAAACCCTACCCAATATAGTGGGTCTAGGTTGGATTTGGGTAAGATCCGATCCATTGACACGCCTATAGCAGGTGTTCATGGCAATTAGTATCACCTTGTTTCACACTAGGCTAAGGATGCCTTTATGATTTAGTTAGATGCATAGACTTGAATCTAATGAAGGAATTCCTTATTCTTAACTAAAAGTTGTAACCTGTCAGATGTGGAAGTCTGTGAGAGCAAGCATATTTTGTAAGCATGCTCTGAATAATAGTCAACAACTGGACGAGATAACTGGATTTTACCTGTGAAATTAGATATCCCCAAAAAATTATTGCTTGAAAATGGAAGAAGATGCTTATTTAAATCTCACACCCAAAAGAACAAAAAGGAGAGAAGGGAAAACAAGAAAGAAAAGAATGTGGATGGCCACATCCCATTTCCGATTTTTCTGTAATCACATTTTATTTGTCCCTTCATTATTGCTTCATAGATCATCAATGTGTAGCCATCTGCTGTGAAAGGCTTATTGTACTCATGCCTAATTGAGAATTCTACCATTATTTGTCGATTGTTTTGAGATAAATTAAAAGAATCCTCAAGTTCATAGAGTTACATGTTAGATTTAGCAAGATGGCTTGCTCTACATGAGAATGGCAGTGCGGGTGTCATGTTTTTAACAGATTGAACTGACAAGGAACAACTTGTGTCCAATCTAACATGCATGCTAGACTTTGAAGTTTCTTTTTGAGATAACTAATTGCAGTTATGATGAAACATGTTGCATTGCCTTTTTTTTTTGGTTTCTTTAAGCAGATATACCTGCGCGCTTGTTTGTTATTTTTATTTTACTGTACATTATTGTTATTTATTTTTTAGGAGAAATAGATTCTAACGTTTCAACAATATTATCAGTGTATAGCTCATGGGAAGTGGGGAAGCTCCAGTGCTTTTCATGGATAAGAGAACGATTTAGCAGGCCAAATGTCCAGTTTTGTGTTGTTGGCGACGGTTGGGAGGAATGTGAAGCTG